TATACAGGGTGAGGCTTAAATATGTGCAAATATTTTCAGGGGTGGTATATTTCGACCCCAGGAACACGTCTATGAGTTTTTTTTTGAAAAAAAGATGTTGAAAATCGTACATTTTGTTTTTAATTCCCCTGTATATTTTTCGAAAACTTTTTCGAACTGCCTGTTCACCGCAAATTTTCCCACGGTATACTCTGTTTTTTTTTCTCAGGCAAGATTTCGACAGACGATGACAGAAGAAAAGCAGATGACGTCCTATACCAATCTATTTTTATTTTACTAAAAAAAGTTTCTAATATTTTTTAAGTTAATTATGGATGGGTTTAAATATAAATCCGTCATACGTCGTCTCTTGTTGTTTTTAACCAGTTTTATTGGTTTATTTCAAAAATGACAGATCATATTTCAGATGTTATTGGTTTGACGGAACAATGAACGAGAAACGGACGCCGATGCGTATGAACTCGCCTTTAGATTTTTGAGACTCGTCAAAGTATTGGTAAATTATAGGTTATAATTTTGTGTCAACTTATGTCAAATACCCTGCGTTTTGGAAGATGATGCATTTTGATTCGTGTTATTACGTGTGTTTTGTGTCTTTTTAAGTCAAGTGGAGGAAAAATCGAGGAAAAATTAACTGTAGACCCAGAGCACAGTTTATGGTTAATACTCGCTACCCAGGGAGAAAGTCTTATACACCAATAAAGTTACCATCAATAAAGTTTGTATACCATCTCGTCGTAGATAAGTGCATCTCGTATATGGTACAAGGATCGTACTAGGGGAAAGTGGGGGAATGCCGCGCAGGGGGTAATATCGCGCAGTGGCTTTCTGCCAACAAAACAAATAAATTATGAAAGCTAATGGTCCTGACATCTAGTGGCCGAATGGTTAACTACAGTAACGGACGAAATAATTCACTGAATGCATACATGTGGCGTCAGTTGAGTTTTGTTTACAAAGAGTGTGGAGGTTATAATATTGTGCTCTCTTTTGCGAAGCAAGGTATGTCGTATTTTATTAGTTGAATGTTCTATATTTGCTTTTTTGAAAGTTCTATGATGTTTATAGATAATTTAAACCCTTACATTGATCAAATTATCCGTTTTTTTTTCAGTTGACAAATCTCTTATGCAAAACACCTCGGGGTAAAATCGCGCAAGTGCGCGGTATTACCCCACTTTGTGCGCAGTTTTACCCCACATTGATTTGAACAGTAATATATCTAATTCCAGTACTTCTTTCTTTTATAGATGCCACGGACCTATAAAAGATTAACAAGCAGAAAATCTTGGAGCTCAGATGCATTAAAAAAGAGCATTGCAGGCGATTAAAAAAGGTTCTTCTATCCGAAAGGCGGGACGAGACTTTGATATTCCCGAGTCTACACTACGAGATAAATTGAAAAATGTGGAGCCATCAACCAGCGATGTACCTTTAGGTAGAAAAGCAACATTCACCCCTCAACAAGAACAGGAACTTGTAAAACATGTAATAAAGTTGGCTAAACTGTTCTATGGAGTTACTCCAATGGGTCTTAGAAAAATAGCCTATGATTATGCAACAAAGAATGGCATAAAACACTTTTTTAACAATGATAAGCAGCTTGCTGGTAAAGATTGGCTATATCTTTTTTGAAAAGAAACCCTCAAGTAAGTCTCCGACAGCCCGAAGGCACAAGCCTCAACCGGATAAGTTCATTTAATGCCAATGAAGTAGAACTTTTTTTTTCTAATTTAGAGGCACTCTACTCTAAATTCCATTTTGCTCCATCTAGAATTTACAATTGTGACGAAACGGGAATTAGTAATGTACCCAACAAGTGTGGAAAAAATATATGCAGCTCGAGGTACAAAACAAGTCGGAATTGCCGGTTTAGTATAAAAACATACCCCTTTAACCGTTTTTAAATTCAATTAGAAATAACTAGAACTAAAACTTATACAATTACATCTTTCGGTACCTACTAGCATTATTGCATCTCTACTTAACACCTGTAATAACGAATCACGAAGTAACGAATACACAAAACGTGTGTTTTGAGTATAATAAATTGTTTGTACTCGATTTTAAGTGTCTTACTTTTGTTGTAGAGTGTCTTCTTTTTTAAATGGAACACCTTGTATGTTATTGCATTTTTGGCTTTCTTTTAGATCACTTTACATAATCCTAAGATATGAGTAAATATATTTCGATAGTTTCAGATTAATATCTCTGAAGTTTCAGAGATATTAATAAATAAATAAAAATTATATATTTTTCAGCCTTTCTTAAAAAAAAAATAAAAATAAGAACTAATTCAACTGTCTAGAAATGAAAACTATATTAGGTATTTACTTTAGATGGTCTTTAATTAACGTTGCTATAAATTTGGTAATTGTAAATCATACAGGTTGTTCAAAATTCTACTCCAAACTTTCTAAAATATAAAATAATTTTTCATTTTGAGAGTTTTTGAGAGAAAGGAAGCCTAAAATGCAATAATATACAAAATATATCCCGATCCACTAACGCTTTTTTGAGCTACCTATAGAAGTTAAGCTATTTTCCTGAAATACATCCAAGTACATATTTTAGGTTTGCACTTTAACGAAACGAAGTTTTAATTCCTTTAACGAAGTGCTTTATTCTAGGAGCTACAGATGATGGGCCCGATGTACTATAGCCGGACCCTGTATAGTCTGCCCAACGACAAGATCCTTGACACTGATAGATGTGTCTGTCATTTTAATTTCAAAGTAGTTTATTTTATTTTACAAAGAAATAAGATGGTACAAGTGGAACACATAGCAGGAAATTAATATAGGTATTTAAAATTTGAGTGACAAGTGATTACTTCAAAATATTACTTAATTTATTACTCGCGGCAAGAGCTTTATGGTTGAAATATGGCAACCTCGGCCGCTCGAGAGACGTCGCGATCGATGGGACTAGTCGCCGTAGTGGTGGAGAACTATCGATAGTCACGGCCATCGATAGTTATCGATATTCACACATTCGACTATCGATAACTATCGATTGTTTTCGATAGTTTTGACTAACATAAATTTGTTAGTTATCTATGAAAAGCAGTACGAATTCGGTACTGTTTTATTGAAAACGGTAATTTCATACCGTTTTTAACAAACAATACGAATTTCGTACAGTTTTTTTTAAATTAAAGACAGTACGAATTTCCTACCGTTTTTAATTAAAAAAAAGTATTTAAAAGTATCGAAAATTATCATCTCTATTAAAATTATTTGTTTTTTTCATAAAATAATAGATTTATAAAATAATCAAAACCAATATTTTTATTTAACTAATTATTTACATTTCCGACTATGCATTCATTCTTGTTCAGAAATGTTAATATCTCAACATTGTTTGCCTTTAATCTTGATCTTCTCTTTGTTATTAAATTGCCTGTGGTGCTGAAAGTCCTCTCAGATTCCACAGATGATGCTGGAATATACAGGTATTTTTTGCTACATTCTTCCAGTCTCCAGTGGGTGTAAATCCCTTCCATTTACCTGTGTAAAAAGTAAGAACAAAACTTTTTAATATTATGACAAAAAAATATTTTTATCAATAGTTACCTTCCAGAACAGAAGAGGATCATCATTTTGAGTTGCAATTTGTTTCTCAAATACTGACGTTTGATGATGAATGCATCTGCAGTTGTTGATTTAATTTTCCGGCAAATTCTTTCTTCAATAAAAGAAAATAATGGATTTCCACTGCTGCTGGTTGTAGTAGTGCTTGTTGGTACTGCTCTTAGCCAGGCCTGTCATCTCTAAATCTGGATTCTGTGGGATCTGCTTCCTCCTCTTTTTTCAAAATGTGGACCATTTCCTGCTCCATTTATGCTGCACATTCTGCATTCTCATTGCTTCTGAAACCTTCCTATTTAAATCGAGGATCCATCACATGCTAAGTGGGGGGATTTAATGCTTTTAGAAATGCATTATGTTTTGTTCATAAAATTTACTTACTGCTACGACGACTGTTCGGACTGTCTTCCTTTTTCCTTTTTATGTTTAAAAATTTATCCATTTTAAACTTTCTTTATGAACAAACAACACAGTATTTTACAATAACGTTTTCCAACTCAATATTCAATAACCTTTCATCAAATAACAAAAATAACGTTGGCCAACAACAAAAACCAAATACGTTTAAATAAAATATACGACGGACTCCCCATAAGAGCAATGAGAGGATTTACGCCCCAGTATTGAAGGAGGACAGAAAATCGAGTCGAATGGTTTCAAGACATAGGTTCATCCTTGTCTAGTCAAACCTCCTACAACACAAGGATAGACTTATGTAGGAAATGCATTGAAATTCTATAGCCATCCTTCAATATCGGTACAGGAATTTAAGCGGTACCCTCCGTATACTTTATTTTAAACGTATTTGACAAAAACACATATTTATAACCTCAATCTAAGTAGAGATGTGTTCCAAACGAACTATCGCAAAATATCAATAGCCTCCAAATACTATCGATTGTTTTCGATAGTGAAAAATATCGATAGTTATCGATAGCGCCGTCGATAGTTCTCCATCACTACTAGTCGGCAGTACTCATTTGGAATTGGATGGGTGAGAAGCGTCAGATTTTTTAAAAATATTACGCGAACGTCGAGAGTGAATTATTGAAATAATTTGCCCAAGCAAATTTTACATCTGCGGATTTTCTCAAAAACTTCATCACGTAGCTCAGGATGTCAATACAAATCTGTTACATTTGGCGATTTTTTTGTTTAAAGTCCTGAATCACTTATTGAAATTTATGAAAAAATACGTAGAGTAAAACCCGCATAGCACGATAATCCCAAAATTTTATGCCGTGTAATGCATTATGAAAATAAAAGCGTTATTCTAAAAAAATAAACTATAAAATCCAATAAATAAAAACAGAAAAATCAAGAATTAATTCAATAACAATAAATAAATAAAAAATATGTATTTCTACAAAAATGGCTCAAACAGCCCTCCTTCTTTCGCCATACAAAATCCTAACCTATGATAAAAACTGCTTCGCACCTCCGAAAGAGTTTCTGCTGTAAGGCATTAGAGGTCTCAACAATTTTTGCTCTTAACTCCTCTAAATTTGTCGGCCTCGTGACTTCGTGGCTGTAAATAGTTTTCTTAAGATAACCCCACAAAAAGAAGTCACTCGGAGACAAATCGGGAGATTTAGGCGGCCACCTAATATCGCCAGTCCCACTAATAAGGCGGTTAGGAAAATTATTCGACAAAAACTCTTTTACTCTAACCGCATTATGAGCGGGACAACCGTCTTGTTGAAACCATACTGTTTTCAGGTCAAGATCAGGAAAGTTTTGAACGGCGGAAAAAACTTGGTTCTGAAGTAGCTCAAGATATTTGTCAGCATTCAGGGTACCACCAATAAAAAATGGGCCTATTAAATGGTCACCTAAAATATCTTCCCAAATATTGAGTTTTTGAGGGTACTGGGTGCGATATTCAAAACTTCGGTGTTCGTTTTTCTGAGACCAAAAGCGGACAATTGTGTTTTCCTTGCAATGGAAAGGAATACTCATCAGTGAAGAGAATATTTATCACAAAATTATCATCCTGATTAGCCTTTTCCATTACAGTTTCACAAAATTCCATTCTCCGCAGATGGTCATCAGGAAATAACTCCTGAGTTTTAGAATATTTGTAGCATTTGTAGCCACATTTTTTCCAAATTGTTGTAACTGTTACGTTAGAAACACCCAGTTCCTTGCCCACACTTCTACTGGATCGTGTACTATCCAATTCCAGAGCACCACAAACCATTTCGTTCCGCCTTCTTTTTCCTGAACTATCTCAACAGGCGGTTCTTGCTTAAGGTGGCATTTTTTACAGTCGTTGAGGCAAAAACATTGTTCGAAACTCGAAACAATGTTTAGGATCGTTTTCGCACACGGAATGGGCCTATCCTCAAAGACTACTGCAAAAAGATCCCTACACTGTATTGCTGAGTTACCACCGTAATACCACTTAATCAACTGAACTCTTTCGGGAGGTGTATAAACAGCCATGTTTAGCGAGAAAACATAAAATATAAAAAACCTTTTTTATACACGTTTTTTATACAGAGCGGTCTTTTTTTCAAACGTTTTTTATACAGAGCGGTCTGCAAGGAAATATACGTACGTGCTCTATAGTAAAGTGTAATGTCCAAAAACAATTAAAAACAATAGTTAATATGTGTTATTGTGTTGTCCAGTTTAACAAATTTTAACTCTGTAAGAATCTACGTTCAAGAGGCTTGAAAAAGACATACTGTCGAAACGTCGTCACAAAATAAAAAAATAATGAACAAAATCTAGAAACATCTTTGCAACCCCAACGACCTAAAGCCAAGAGTGAAAACAAAAAAATATATAGTATACAGGTCAAAGAAACGAAACAAAAAATATAATAATATGTTTAGTAGTACGATCCTTGTACCATATACGAGATGCACTTATCTATGACGAAATGGTATACAAACTTTATTGATGATAACTATATTGGTGTATAAGACTTTCTGCCTGGGCAGTGAGTATTATCTATAAACTGTGCTCTGGGTTTACAGTTAATTTTTGCTCGATTTTTCCTCCATTTGACTTCAAAAGACACAAAACACACGTAATAATACGAATCAAAATGCATCATCTTCCAAAACGCAGGGTATTTGACATCATTTTGACATAAGTTATAACCTATAATTTGGCAAGACTGACGAGAGCCTCAATGAGAGCCTCAAAAATCTAAAGGCGAGTTCATATGGCGAGTTCTTGGGCTAGTTCGTCATCGGCGTCCGTTTGTTGTTCATCGTTCCGTCAAACCAATAAAATTGAAATATGATCTGTCATTTTTGAAATAAACCAATAAAACTGGTTAAAAACAACAAGAGACGACGTATGACGGATTTATATTTAAACCCATCCATAGCTAACTTAAAAAATATTAGAAACTTTTTTAAGTAAAATAAATAGATTGGTATGGACGTTCATCTGCTTTTCTTCTGTCATCGTCTGTCGAAATCTTACCTGAGAAAAAAAAAACTATAGTATAGGTATAGTAATATTTATATATCATATTTTATTAACTGAAAAAGAAAATACTGTTTTTTCATGCTTTAAAAATGTTCATTAAATAAGGAGCATAGAAATTTGAGGGTCCATTGTCACAAGCAGCTTTTTCAAGAAAAAAAGTTCCCTAATAAGAATTGTACAAAGTTTCTTAAAAACTTTCCAGTTTTCTATCGCTGTTTGTTTTTTAACGAAATTGTGTTAAAGTAAGGGTGTTCACTGATTTATAAAATTGAATTAAATCCTGAAAAAACCTCTCGGGAATGCTGAAAACTTACTTTCAGAAACTTCAAAAGAATATTTAAAATTACCCGCTGGAAAAGCATATTAAGAGCTGTACAAAAATAACGTAAATTTTCTATACGGAAGTAAGATTTTATTATTGTAGGATTAAATGTTAAATAAATTAGATTTTATTATTTCAATACATATTTTTCAACAAGTTTTAAGCATATTTCATTCATTTTTAGCACATTTGTTATAGCTGTTAAAGGACTGGGGATGTATTAGGAGCTTAAAATTTAAAATGGGATTGAGACTGAATAAATCTCAGATTTTGATGAGTTTTCATACAGGGTGTCCAAGTTCAAACGAAACAAGGCAATTTAAAGGCATTTCTGGTGTAAAAAGGACAAAACGGTAAAACACGTCAACTCTATTTTCGAAGGGAAAATAAGATGCGACTATTTTTGAAGCCCATAATTGAAACCACGCGCGGGGGTGACATCTATCCTTAAAATCTTAAATGTAATGCGGGGTCGAGTAGCACATCATTTGAAAGGTTATTAAATCCTCTTTTCAGCGCTGTCTCATTTTTGGAGTTTTTGTCACATTTAGTGGAAAATCGGGCTGAAAAATAAACTTTTCATAAATTGATGATGCTTTTTTGTAGGTATAGGTTAATGATTTCTGAAAATTCGACTTTTCAAGTGGAGAAAGATACGTCTAAATATTTTTCGATACCGTTTGATAGAGAGTTATCCCGTGGTCTAAAAGGAATTTTTAAGAATGTCAATTATAAACTTGTGTATAGTGCTAATAATAAATTACAACAATTATTAGGTAATCCAAAAGATAAAACACCTCCACTGGAAAGGTCGGGTATTTATGAAATTTCTTGTAAAGATTGTAATCAGAAATATGTTGGGCAAACTAGGAGATCAATATTAACTAGATTTAAAGAACATTTAGCTCAGATAAGATATGGTAGACCGGATAAATCTTGCGTTGCCGAACATATTGTTGATAATGAACATTGTATAGATCTTAATAATTTAAAATTAATTAAACAAGTCTCAAATTACAGGCAATTAGATGCATATGAAAGCATCATAATTAATAAATGTAAAGATAGTATGAACAGAGTCAACGGTCCAATTCCTTCAAGTTCTTTGTTCCTACTACTCTAGTGGCGGAAATCTAACTGTTACGCTCAGTAGGCTCTGACTTGGTTGGCTAGATTTTGCCACGCCCATTGGTGCCCACTGAGCGAGTATATAAACGCTCAACTTGTAGATTGTACTTTAGTTTATAATCATCTGCTGATGATGCTAACATGGTTAGCGAAACGCGCGTCCAGTGTAAAAGTAAAAGTGTTTTGGTGTATTGTGGTGATTTAGTGTTTTTATTTTGCTGTGTAACACCAAAGGTTCCAACCCTCAACTGTAATGCTTTGATATTCGATTAATTGTATAGGAATCGAAATGGGGTCTAAAATAAGAAATTTAGTTTAAATCAACAAGATTTTGATTAAGGAATACTACACAAAAAGAAGTACCCTGCTTTGAATAAATTACTTGATTAAACGTTCGAATTGAGCATTCCCTGCTTCCATGCACGAATACAGGTTCTGCTCAAAGCGTTCTCGGACGTGTTGTAATAATTCGGATGTTATAACCGCGCACTGGTGTACAATTTTTTGACGTAATACTCCTACTGTCTCCGGTTGCGTGGCGAATATTTTGTTTTGAGATGTCCCTATAAAAAAACATCCAGCGGAGAAAAATCCGGTGACCTAGCTGGCCATTGAAGAAAGGGTTCCCTTCTTCCAATCCACCGATCGGGAAATGTTTCATCAAGATACTGCCGCACACGTACAGCATAGTGTGGAAAAGCACCAGCTTGTTGAAACGCAAGTTGATTTTCGTCATACTGATCTTCATTTTCAATTATTTGTGTAATACTGGGATTTATGGCATTTTCCAAAAGATCCAGATACATATTTCCATTTAGATTTCCATCCAGAAAGAACGGACCAACTAGACAGTCGCCAAAGATTCCAGCCCACACCTTAATTTTTTTCAGGGTACTGAGTATGAACCTCACGGAATTCTCTAGGATTGGTATCAGACAAGTAGCGACAATTGTGGCGATTTACTGTTCCATTGAGGAAAAATGTACATTCATCCGAAAAGTACATGTTGAAAAGAAGACGTGGAGTAGCAATGAGCATTTCACCTAGTTCTTCACAGAATTGTAATCGTCTGTCGTAATCATCTTCGTTCAATTCTTGGAGAAGATGAAGTTTGTAAGGATGGAATTTGTGGAACTTTAGTATCCTGTGAACACTACTCTTACTTATTCCTGTGGCTGTTGTCAATTGTGTGCCGTTCTATTGCGATATCTGTCATGACTAAAGAAAGTTTCAATTATCTCAACTTTATCTGCAGTAGAATAAATCATCACGTCAATTCACAATAATACTAAATACTCTTACGATAATACTAAGAACAGTAAGCCCTACGTAAGTATTAAGAATACTTCCAAACTGAATGATAACGTGAAAAAGATTTAGCAGTACTGCCTCAAAAGAAGATAAAATATTAATAAAAACATTTTTTTACCTACCAAAAACTAGTTTACATTTTTGTTTCTTATCGGCTAGTACACGTCTTCTTTTCAACATGTGCTTTTCGGATGAATATAGATTTTTCATCTACGGAACAGTAAATCGCCACAATTGTTTCAAAGCAGGGTACTACTTGTTGTGTATTATTCATTAAGCAAAATCTTTTTGATTTAATCTAAATTTCTTATTTTAGATCCCATTTTGATTCCTGTACAATCAATTAAATATCAAAGCATCATCAATTTATGAAAAGTTTATTTTTCAGCCCGATTCCACGAAATGTGACAAAAACTCAAAAAATGAGACGGAAAGAACGCTGGAAAGACGCTGAGAAGAGGCTTTAATAACCTTTCAAATGATGTGCTACTCGACCCCACACTACATTTAAGATTTTAAGGGTGGATGTCACCCCCGCGTGGGGTTTAAATTAGTGGCTTCAAAAATAGTCGTATCTTATTTCCACTTCGAAAATAATGTTTGGGAGCAAAAATTCAAGGCCTTGACACACGCCCTTGAACGCGCGTAAAGAAGACACTTCAAGAAAAAAATTAGACCAGAGTTGGTAGGTAGAAAACCTTTGCAGCCATATCTAAGGCCGCCTCAGACACGCATGCTTTTCGATCGTTTT